ATGCAGTATTAGAATGTGGGGCAGAAGTTTGTGGTTATAGGAAGGTGGGAGCAGGAGGAAAGGGGAGTGATTGGTGGACTGCTGGAAGTCCAAGCCCATCGCCCATTGTATATGTCAGTGGAGTGAATGGAGACGAATAGTTTTTGGGACTTGATGAGCTGTTGGAGTGTGAGCAGGGTAATATTTTGTGAAGGGATTCAGGGAAACTGGATAGCCAAACTTGAGTCCTGGAGGTGGGAAGCACAGTGCCTACACTTTGAAGGAGGGGTTTGGGAATTTGCTGTTTGGAGTGATATTTGAACTGTCATACATTTTCATTTCTGCAAAGACAGTGATTATGTGTGAATGATGGTGACATTGTTGAATGATAGTGAAAGTGTTTCTTTTTTAGGTCACCCTGCCTCAGTGGGAGATGACCAGCGTGTTACAAAAATATGCCAGTCACCCTAATTGCATAATATATTGTTTTCCACTTTATAGAAATAAAGTTTGTTTGTTAATATATATATGGTGCTGCATGTGGTCTGGTAGTGTGTCCATTGCTATTTTCATGAGTACATCCCAAGGCTCACCACTGGCAACAGTGATAGGATGATGGCATAGATTAGGATGGGTAGTAGGTCCCATACAGTTGTTGCTATATGGGACAGCCAACCCAGGCTGGGAGGCATAGCCCACACCCAACACCAATACTAAAGAGAAGTTGCAAAGGTTAGTGGATGAGTTTGGGAGGGTGGGTAAAGGAGGAAAGTTGAAAGTGAACATAGATAAGAGTAAGGTGATGATGGTATCAAATGAGTTAGGTAAAGAAAAATGTGATATTATATTGGAGGGAGGGAGTATGGAAGAAGTGAATGTGTTCAGATATTTGGAAGTAGACTTGTCAGCGGATGGGTTTATGAAGGACAAGGTTAATCATAGAATTGGTAAAGGGAAAAAAGGTAAGTGATGCACTGAGATCTGTGGAGACAAAGGAGAGAATGTATAAGAGTATAGTGGTACCAACACACTTATATGGGTGTGAAGCATGGGTTGTAAATGCTGCAGCAAGGATGAGGCTGGAGGCAGTGGAGATGTCATGTCTAAGGGCAATGTTTGGTGCAGATATTATGCAGAGAATTTGTAGTGTGGAAATTAGGAGAAGATGTGGAGTTACTAAAGGTATTATTTCAGAGTGCTGAAGAGGGGTTGTTTAGGTGGTTTGGTCGTTTAGAGAGGATGGGGCAAAACAAATTGACTCGTGGAGGGTGTATAAATCTGTAATGGAGGGGAGGAGGGGTGGGGGTCATCCTAAGAAAGGAGGTTTTGTTTGCAAGGGGCTTGGACATATAGCTGGCATGTGTGAGCATGTTAGATGGGAGTGAATGGAGATGAATGGTTTTTGGACCTGATGAGCTGTTGGAGTGTGAGCAGGGTAATATTTTGTGAAGGGATTCAGGGAAACTGGTTAGCCGGATTTCAGTCCTGGAGGTGGGAAGTACAGTGCCTGCAATTTAAAGAAATGGTTTGGGATATTGGCTGTTTGGAATGACATCTAAACTGTCATATCTGGGCACTTCTACAAAGACAGTGATTGTGTGTAAATGACGGTGAAAATGTTTCTTTTTTTTAGTCACCCTGCCTCAGTGGGAGACAGCTGATCTGTTAAGAAAAAAAGTTACAACAGTAGAAAAGTGAGGCAATTGGATGTGCATGTGTTTATGTTGTATATCATTGTTTTATGAACAGTGTACTGTTGATGTTAGTGCAAGTATTATGTTGTATACAAAGGCTAGCCATATATACATTGTGCATGATTTGGATGTCATTGGCTACAACAGTTATTGGAAAATATATGAAATAGAAAACCCAAGAAAAAACTGTAAAAAATAATAACTAAGTTAATACCGAGCGCTCAGGAATTGTCGGTTTAGTCGTCAGTGGGTCAGTGACCTTTTACTTCATGCTTTTAATATCTCGGTAAGTACTGATGGGAAAATTCTTGAGTTAGTCTCATTACACTCAGTTTTTTATTTTTTAATCACGGCACTGTCAACACTTTCAATTTCATGGGTTGTGACGTTGAAAAGGTTAATAGGGCGTGTCTAAGACGAGGCCACAGAGATGGTATTTGGAACTATTAATAGGTACAGTGGAACCTCAAATATCGAACTTTTTTTGGTCCAGAAGGCTGTTCGAGTGCCTTTACCGAATGAATTTATTCCCATGAGGAATAATGTAAATTAGGTTAGTCCATTTCAGACCCTCAAAAATACACTTATAAAAGCACTTACAAAAATACATTTACATAATTGGTTGTGTTGGGAGCAGTTCGATTTTTGAGGTTCCACTGTACCTGTATTTAACCAATATTAATGAACTAATATAGCTTTGAAAGCATTTGCTTCTGTTGTTATTCTTGCATTCTCAAAATCTTGCCCTATTATGTAGTGAACTGATTTAACTAAGAAAACACTGTAGAGTGGACCCTAGGTTATTGGCTATAATCCGTTCCAGAAGGTCGGCCTAAATCTGAAAAGGCTGTAAACTGAAATAATATTTCCCATAAGAATTAATGTAAATACAATTAATCCAGTCCAGACACCCAAAAATATTAACAAAAAATACATTTTTTAAAGATAAACTATACTTTTACATACATAAAGCAGTGAGAAAGAAATATAAAGCACTAATTTTACTAATAAATGAACATTACATATCTTTATTGAAGACTCTTGTTGGCATATGGAAGAAGGCAAGGAGGGGAGAGGGAGGAGAGTTTATTGTTTGGAAGGGAAATCCCCCTCCATAAGGACTTCAGGTATCAAAGCCCTCTCTGGAGTTACTTCCCTTCTTTGTCTTTTACTGCCACTAGGACCAGCTTGAGCCACTGTACCCCTGTCGCACAGAATACCTGTTCAGAGAGCTCTGTTTCTGGTGTCTCTTCAAGATTTGCCTGAAGTGGGACAAGATTTTGTGACTGAACATATTGCAGATATGGCTTGTTTGGACTTGGTCAGGGTGATATTTCTCCACAAAACTTTCCAACTCACTCCACTTTGCACACATGTCCTTAATCTCTGAAGAAGGTGCATTCTCCCCTCTCTCTTCCTCCTCCTGTGAAGCAATTTCCTCAGCTGTGGTCTGTTGCTGTGGCAGATGAAGGTCATGCAGCTCTTCAGTGGTTAGCTCTTCCCTGTGGTCCTCCAACCAACTCTTCCACATCCTGGCCACCCACATCCAACCCCATGGACTTCCCCAAAGCCACAATAGATTCCACAACAGGCAGAGGGTCGACAGGGTCAGGGTCAGCCTCAAACCCTTCAAAATCCTTCTCTTGGACACATTCTGGCCTGTTCTGTCACAATTGAACACTTGTTGGGGGAGGAATTCTTCAGCTGCACGTTTGTCTGAACTTGCAGCCTCCCCATGCCTTACAACTTTGTGTATGCCACTATGTTTCTTACATCTCTCAACCCAGCCTTTTCTGGCCTTAAATTCACTAACAGCAGCACTCGTTCCAGGCATTTTCTTTACGAGATCCGCATGCAACTGCCTTGCCTTTCTACAAATGATCGACTCCACAACACTATCTCCCGCTAATTGTTTAACATTGATCCACACCAACAGTATCTTCTCCACATCTTCGATTATTGGTAATCTTTGTTTCGTTAGCATATTTACCCCTTTCGCAACATCAGCTTCCTTGATTTCTACTTTCTTTGCCAGGATGGAAGTGATTGTTGATTTGGATTTCCCATACATCCTGGCAAGTTCCAGGACACGTACACCACTCTCGTACTTTGCTACAACTTCTTCCTTGAAATCTGTTGTTTCTCACTTTCTCTGGGCCTATGGTGGGTTATTTCGCAGTTGCACTCAATAAATAACCACAAAAAACAATGGATTATAACAAAATGTTTGGTTGAATGCGCGGAGCCTTGCTCACTCACCCAGAGACACAGCCAAACTGACTCATGAATGCGCGGAGAGGCAGGCGGACGCGTCCAGTACGGCCGATTTCCAAGTTGCCAGCCGAAATCCAGGATAGAATTTTGGCCCCAAAAAACGGCCGATATCCAAATTGTCCGATATCCGGAACGGCCGATAACCAAGGGTCCACTGTATCTTAATAAGTATTATTGTATCTAATCTTTCTATCTCAGTGTAATATGCACAAGCATTCTTCCACTACTTCATCTCATGTATCGCTTGCCCTTCTCTATCTATGATAATCATGTTATGGTTATGTTGATTGTCCTTAGTTAAATGTGTTAAGTTCATCACTCACTAAGCTTATTTTTCTGTTTTTTTTTTTTCATATGCCTTCCTTGAAATTTTTTGCCTTAGTCTGAAAAATATCCTTAGTCAGGTTAGGAAACTGCAGCAATACTTTAAAAGTTATAAATTAAAAATTATCCTGAATTGAGGAGTAAACAAAAATTATTTTGTTTTAATAGGAATGGGAAAAGAAAGCAGCAGAAGCAAAGAGAGACTATGAAGAGGCAATGAAAGAGTATAAGGCTTCAAGCGGATTTGGTGGATCTTCACCTTCAAAATCGAAGTCTAAGAAATCAGTAGTATCAGTGTCGCCAACCAAAGCAGGCTCAGGTGGAGGTTTCAAGTCGAAAGAATTCATTGAAGATGACTCCTCAAGTGGTGATGAAAGTGATGAAGATAAACCACTCAAAAAGAAGGTGAAGAATGAGGAGAGTGATGATGATAAACCACTCAAAAAAGCAAAGAAGGATGAAAGTGATGATGATAAACCACTCAAAAAGAAGGTAAAGGAAGAAAGTGATGATGATAAACCTCTCAAAAAGCCAAAGAAATCAGTAAAGGAAGCAGTGAAAGCAAAAGAGGTAAGATACATTGGCATTTTATTGCTTGTTGTTGACACATGGTACAAAAATATTTTTTCATTTCCTTTAGTATTTATTATTTCTTCTATTAGATCTGTTTCTCTTCTAGATACTTTGCTTCTGTGGGTTGATACCTATGCTTAAGGGAAAATGGGGAGACTACTTGTAGGATGGACCTTGGCACCATACTTGAAGGGGTGGCTACTTGTTGGATACACCTTACATCCATCCTAGAGGGGTTGGCCACTTGTAGGATTCTTCTTGGTACTTATCTTAAGGGGAGAATACATGCAGGATCTTCCTCAGTAGCCATCCTTGAAGGGGTAGGAACCATCTTCATTGGGGATGGCCACTTGTAGGACCCTCCTCAGTACCTTTCCTTGAGAGGGGTGGCCACTTGCAGAATCCTACTCAGCACCCCTCCTTGGGATGGGGGGCTACTTGCAGGTTCCTCCTTGGTACCCATCCTTGAGGGAAGTGGCCACTGGATGGATCCTCAGCACCCATCCTTGAGATTTTGGTTATTTCTAGGATTTTCAGTATCCATCATTGAGGGGACCATCACTTGTAGGGTTCTTTCTGAGCATTGTAAATACTATAATTTTGATTTAAAAAAAAAATGACTGAAGGTAGAATAAAACAGGACATAAAAGAAAATACTAATTTAACCCTTTCATTGTTTGTGCTGTAGTACTACGGGTTTGAGGTCATTGTCTGCTGTAGTACTACGCCACGAGCTTGGCTCACTCAGATAAGCTGTGAGCAGTAAATTTGGGCCTAGACATGAGAGAATGGGTCTGTGTGGTAAGTGTGCACCTTATAAAAAAATCCTGCAGCATAATGAGGGGAAAAAACTGCTATTGTTTTTGGTTTAAAACCATGACTTTGTGGTGTATTTTTGTATGGCTTTTATGATTGTATTCTCGGTTTCTTGATCTTACTGATAGAATGGAAGAAATAAAGAGGATTTTGATTGGTTTCATGACTGAAAATAGCTTGAAATTGAGCTCATAGTAGCACTGTTCAATTTTTGCCAATATTCAAGAGTAAATAGATCATGTCACTCGTCCAATATACATCCAACTGGTGGGTCTAATATGCGTTCATGAATGTGTTGATGGGAGCAAGGGGCTAGTAACCCTTTCTCCTGTATATATTACTAAATTTGAAAGGAGAAGCTTTCGTTTTTCCTTTTATGCCACCCTGCTTCAGTGGGATACGGCCGTTTTGTTGAAAGAAGAAGAATGTGTTGATATTATTTATACAATTATTACATGATTGCATAACATTAAATCTTCTATTCTTTGTGCAAATAAAAATTTTTCATGTGAATAAAAAATCACAATGGAATTGATATGTAAAGCCTGGGAGCATATACAGTGGACCCTCGACCAGCGATGGCATCGATTAACGATAAATCTGACTAGCGATACATTTTATTGCAAAAATTTTGCCCCGATTAGCGCTAAAAAACTCGACCAATACTATTTGTTCCATCTGAGACGTGTCCACTTCTGGCCAGTGTTTACAAGCCAGCCAGCCACCGCGGTCGCTTCCAAGCATACAATCAGAACATTTCATATTATCACAGCCTTTTTAGTGATTGCACCTGCAAAATAAGTCACCATGGGCCCCAAGAAAGCTTCTAGTGCCAACCCTACAGCAAAAAGGGTGAGAATTACTATGGATATGAAGAAAGAAGATCTTTGCTAAGTATGAAAGTGGAGGGGCATGTCTCCAAGCTGGCCAGGCTGTACACAAAACCCATCAACCATCCTACTATTGTGGCCAAGAAAACGGCAATCAAGGAAGCTGTTCTTGCCAAAGTGCAAAATGTTTTCGAAACTGAGATCGCAAGTGGAAAAGATGTTGAGAGACTGTTATTGGGGATGGATTAAAAGAAAACAATAGCAGGAGATAGCATCTCTCAAGCGATCATATGTGAAAAGGCCATGATGATTTAATTAGAAAAAAAGCCCGCAGCTAGTGGTGAGTGAGTGAATTTAAGGCCAGCAAAAGGTTGGTTTGAGAGATTTAAGAATCGTAGTGGCATAAAATAGTGTGATAAGGCATGGTGAGCTGCCAGTTTGGACCAAAAAGCAGCTGAAAAATATTGCAGGAATTCAAGAGTACATAACAGTGAAGGACGAAACCCGAACAAGTTTTAAAGGTGACACTGACAATGTTTGTGAAACACTTTAGGGGAAAGTCATAAAGGAAGGGAGGTTAAAAGGCCTCTATGGGGAGATATGTTGTGCGACAGAGGTCCAGTGAATCTCAAGCTGGTCCTAGTGGCATAAAAAGAAGGGAAGTAACCCCAAAAAGGACTTGCCACCTCAAGTCCTAATGGAAGGGGATTCCCCTTCTAAACACTAAGACCATCAACACACTCCCCTCTTCCCATCCCATCAATCATCACCAGATCTTCAATAAAGGTAAGTGTCATGTAACTGTGCATGTCTTCTTCAGTTTGTGTGTATTAAAATTAATATTTCATGTGTTAAATTTTTTTTTTCAATACTTTTGGGTGTCTTGCACGGATTAATTTGATTTCCATTATTTCTTATGGGGAAAATTAACTTGACTAACGATTATTCTGACTAACGATGAGCTCTCAGGAACGGATTAATAGCGTTAGTCGAGGGTCCACTGTATAATGAACAGAGCAAATGTTATTTTAGTGCCAGGAATACCTTCATTGTTTATTCTGGACCCTATTTTGAAATTTGTGAAATTGGACAAATTACCAATTTCTGATCACTTTATTGGATAGTTGAAATAGTTGATTGGGTGGTTTCTTGTGCTCAGTCGAGAAAATAGAAGACTTACTGGTGAAATAGCTAAGAATTTGGCCTACTGGAACGATGTCATTGACCTAAAATAGGACTTAAAGTGCGCAAATTTGCCGATGCGTCAATATCGTTGACACAGCAAAATTCGTGAAAGTGTAATTTCATCAGTTTTTCCATCAGATTTTGTAATTTTTGTTTTATTACCATCGTTTACCATTTCATAAGAAAAAATAAATTTTTTTTTTAAAGTCTTGGATGCTGTGGACAGGTTTCTGATCGGGGGGTTCTATGTGGTCAAGAAATTGGAATAGGCCAACAGTGTGTATTCACAGAAAAGAATTTGTGAGAATAGAGTACCTATCTTTTTGATTAGTGTACCTTAATTCTTTCTTGGGTGACTGAGGCAAAGCAGTGTACTGTTCTCAAGTAAAGCTTGCTCTTATATTTTTATGACTTTATTCTGATGCTTAGATATACAGTATATGCAGCTCAAGATGTAAAGGTAAAACAGAGTTAACGTAAAGCATAGGGTAGCTTTTTAAAGCTACTATATAATGTATGATAGTTTTAGGAAGAAATTTGGTGAATTTGCAGTTTCTTTGTGTAAACTCATAACCACCTAATCTTAGCTGGATATCATTAGATCAGTGGTATAATATTAAAAACATCAAATGATGTTATCTTTAATTTTTCAAGAGGTTTACCAGTAAGCCAGCAAAAGGCTTTGGTCAGATTACCAAGAGCTCCAGTGATGGGCTATCATGTAACTAAGAGCTATGTCAGGAGGCATTTGTCCTGATGAATCTTGCCTAACTTATAATATTGTGAAGTTGATGAGTAAGATGTATGCAGTATCTGCTATCTTTAGATAAACTTCTCTTAATAAAGATACCCAGATATTGTACATGCATCTTAACTAGATTATATTGCATAACCTAGGCTAAGCACATTATATCCTTCAAAGTAAAGGACCATTGATCCAAGGAATTGGAATTACCTTCCATTGGGATTGAAGTTGATTGCCTTCCATTCCCTACACTTTATGGTGTTTATGGGTTTAGGTTCTCCCCCCTCCCCCCACAAAAAAAAAATACAGTAAGCCCTTGATTTAACCATCTAATAGGAGAGTGGGTAGTCAATAATGGTGATTGTGGTAGATAGAGATGAGATTATTTTTGTCTGACTGTCTGTATTTCCAAAACACTTAATTAAGGACAGAATAACAAAAATTTAGCCAATACTGATATACTTTTCCTATAATTTTATTTTAAAAATTATAATGACTCTGTTCAATATACAAGTGAATGCTAATTGCACAATGGATATTAAATAACACAGGAAGGTTAAATATTAAACAACTTAATTTCTCTGAGATGATGATGTCATTACTCATTACTTGGCCTGCTGTGATAGTTGCTGGTTGTCAAAAACACTTGGGTCAGTAGTGAGTGTGTGAGAAAAGTGAGAGTGAGAGAGTGCATGAATTCATGAGAGAGAGTGAGAGTGCATGTGAGAGGGGAAGAGTGCACAAGAGAGAGAGTGTGAGAGAGAGTGAGAGTGTGAGAGAGAGTGAGAGTGTGTGAGAGAGTGAGTGTGTGAGAGAGAGAGTGTGTTGAGTGTGAGAGAGAGGGAGGGGGAGGGAGGGAGGGGGAGAGAGAGGGAGAGTGGGTGAAGACGTGTCACAGTGTGCTCCACAAACTTTCTTAATATTACTTAAATACGAGGGTTGGTGTGGATAAAAACTGTTCATGACGTAGTACTACTTACAACACATTAGTACAAGTAAGCCAACTCCTCCACTGAAGTGAATATAAGCAATATCAGTGATATTAAGTGTGGTATGGTGAAGACATGGTGTGAGTGAGGGACAGCGGCGGGCCCTTAGGAGTGACTTCACTATTCCCTTCAGAGTGAGCATCTAATTTTAAAATGTGTTTTGTGCAATGTACTAGCATCTGGTGCTTTATAACAACGTGGCTGGTACAATGCAACACAGTGATTTGTGTAACATCTTCCTTTAGGGGAAAAGTGGATAGCATAAACAGTGTTTATTAAGTGATAGTGAGAAGGCAACACTTCCAGCTAGTGGCCCACTCCCGTCCGCCCTCACTACCCAACCCGGCTATAAACACCCCCCACCCACGACACTCCACCCCACCCACGAACAACCACCCACCCTCTCTCCCCTCCTGTGAACTTCAAACCTACAAGCCTCCTCTGGGATGACTTCAACCACGCAAAATAGCAAGAATATCAAACGCTATCTGGCTATTGTCCCAGTAGTTACTGCAGTGTTTGTGGGTATACCACAAGGGACAAAATTCTTCTTAGATGTAAGGAGCCTACTTGTTCCAACTACTGCCACAC